GGAACCGATCATCGCTAAGCAAAATTCCCCCATTTAGACCATCGTTTTGTGATCGCAATTGCGATCGCAAAAAGATCATCGTAAAGTGGATTTGTCGTAATGTGGGGCAATTGTTAAGCGAGGCACCACTGTACCTTACTTTTGGCTTGTGAGATCACCTATGTTAGCTCTTCAGGGCAATTCCCAAGTGTATCCAAATGACATTATTGATGATGCACAGAGTGCAGAGTGGTGTGGGGGTGAACCCTGCTCCTTTTTCTTGCCTGTGCTTGCACTGGCAAGGAATACAATTGCAATTCAATTTGTAAATTGCCTTTTAATATTGTTCTAGTTTAGCACTATAAAGCAATCTTATAGTGCTTACCAGGGATGGGGACTTGTGACTTCTGACTCGCTGTTGAGTCTGACTTAAATTGTACCACTGAATCAACTCAGGGTTTGTTTCTTTGTTTTTTTAAATAAGACTCGGACTCAACTCACAACTAGAGTTGCATTTTCAAGTCTCAATATGGTTTGGAAGAATGGTTCTTTAGGTTAGCCTCCCCTCCCTGGGTCTCAGGACACATGCTCATGCCAAGACAAACTGAGGCAAGGTAAGGTGGTAGAGACAAGTTATGGACGGGACTTGACTGATGCACATTCTTGGGCTGGCTGCTGCCACTGAAGGTCTTGTGTGGATGCTCCCAGAACCTTAACAGGTTAAAGGGGTGTGTGTCTCTCTTTCCTTTTCTCCACCTCGTATCTCCTTAGGGAGTCCAGCCACCTTCCCTCACTTGCTTGCTCCTCTCTTCTGGAACTACCTTTACCATGGAGATGCAGAAAGTAAGTGTGGAGGGGTTGGAAAAGGGGATGGGCTGGCAGGCATTATAGTCTGTTCTCTGGGGAGACTGTTTTCTCCCTAGGTCTCCCTAAGGCATAAAGACGGGGGGGGGCATGGAGGCTGAGAAGGGGTCATTTTTTAAAAAAGGGAGACTATGTGGCATAAATGGAGAGAAGGAAGCGGAGTCCACCTCAAGAAAGACCAGGGAGGTGTGGACCGAGGACTACAACTCCCAGAATTCTCCAAGCAGGGACTTGACACTCAGACTCAAGTCTTGAGACTTGGACCCAGAGACTCGGACATGAATTTGGGACTCAGAGATTTGCCAACATCCTTGGGGATAACACGATCAAATCTATTTAGTGCTATTACGCTTACTAAATGTGGGAGTTGAGGAGGAACTTGAACGCTAGGAACAAATGTGGATAAAAAGGAAGTTAACCATGGCAGCAAAATGTGAGAGAAGGGGAGCTGTGTGACATGTGGACACTTGAAACCCATGTGGTCACACCTCCATGCACTAGGTGTGCAGTCCTCCACCAAAAAGTAGTCTAAATGGCTGCAACAGAAGGGGATGTTAGTAGTTGTTAGTAGAGCTAAAGAGGTTTCCACTTAGCTGGTGGTTTATATATTTAAACATTCAGTTATGTTCAGCAGTTTAAAAAATGTCTTTTGTAGCCAAATAAAATCTGCATTCCTCAATCTTTTATTTTGTAGACTCAGTTGTTCAGCTGTTAATACCAATAAAAACTGCAAACCTATATATGTCTATTCAGATATAAGCCCCACTGACTCCAATGGGACTTACTCTCTGCTTAGCCACTATGCCAGTTGTGTCACTATGCTTATGTGATGCCTGTTTGTCCAAGCAATGGTGCTTTTTCCAAAGTTGCTCCATGAGATATGTGTTGCACAAGTCCATAACCATACAATCCCACAGGCCCAGCAGCACAACTGCATGCATATGTAGCAATGCTAGCAGGGATTTCCATTTTGCCAATAAGGAGAGGAATTTAGATCAGAGTGTGTAGGATTATCACCTAAATACAGACAGTCACAAACAATAGTTTTTAAAGAGAACTGAAAGTGGTGCAAGAAGTTTTGTTTAACATACTTCTTTTGTCGTGTCCGTTTCCATTGGTTAAACATGCTGAACAGCCTTTTGAAAAACACATGGAGGTGAAAGTGGAATGAATGAGGAGACCATGAGCAGTGATTCCTCTTTCAGTCTCCCTTCAGTGAAATTACAGTTGAAAGCTTCATAATGGCATCAACTTATCTAGAGACTTTGTGGCTTCTGCAGCAGTCAGCAGATGTCTGCAGCTGCAGGCTGGAAAGGAAGGCCACACTGCGGTTTCCAAAACAGGCTAATCTGAGCTTTAAAGCATAGTTGATAGCTCCCAGTTCAGTGCTTTGTTCCCAGGTGGCAACACCGTAGTTTTTTCCTCCCCTCCATAAGCCCACATGTGTTTGTCATGAGCACCCAGAACAGCTGCCATTGTGGGTTTTGGTGATTTCCAGAGTGTTTAGAAATGGCACAGCTGGGGAGGGGGCTGAACATAATCACCCACTGCATCAGAGTTGCCTCCTCTTGTACTATTAAGGTTGGACAAGACATCTTTGCTGCCTGATATGGGACAGTACATGGTATCTCCGCTTCCCAAAGGGAAACAGGATCTGCAGTCAGTTGACATGGGTTGTTATCAGAGGCACAAAATCTTCCTCCCCAAACAGTTTAAACTGAAATTTCATGACACTCCAAATCTTCCTGCTGTCCATACATAGAAATCATTGGCTGAGGTTCTTTCATGTATAGGTTTGCCTTGTGAAGGAAAAGGTCTTTTCCGTGGTAGGATCCCAACATTGGAATCTCCTGCTCAGCAGTAGTCACCTGTCTCTTATGCTCTGGCTCCAGGCCTTGCTTATATAGGGATGAGGTCTGGAGCACACAAACCACAGCCAGACATTCGTCAGTGGAAGCCTTATGAACTCTCATGCGCCTGTGGGTTCAACCCATCCTGACCTGGGATAGAAACCTCATTGCCATGAATGGGAGCTGTGTAAGAGCTGTGCAATAATTGCTCTGAAGCCACCTATTCATTTTAGTGAGGCAGTTCCAAGAGTCCCTTACATTTGTATTGCTTTAAGGATGTCTAATCTGCATACTGTGGAAGTGTCAGCTGGACCATAAAGAAGGCTGACCGCCAAAGAATTGATGCTTTTGAATTGTGGTGCTGGAGGAGACTCTTGAGAGTCCCCTGGACTGCAAGGAGAACAAACTTATTAATTCTAAAGGAAATCAACCCTGAATGCTCACTGGAAGGATAGATACTGAAGCTGCAGCTCCAATACTTTGGCCATCTCATGAGAAGAAAAGAGTCCTTGGAAAAAACCCTGATGTTAAGAAAGTGTGAAGGCAAGAGGAGAAGGGGACAACAGAGGACGAGGTGGTTGGACAGTGTCATTGAAGCTACCAACATGAATTTGACCGAACTCCAGGAGGCAGTGGAAGACAGGAGGGCCTGGTATGCTCTAGTCCATGGGGTCATGAAGAGTGGGACATGACTTAAACAACAACAATCTGCATACTACAGAGTAGGCATGGGACATTTCTTGGCAACAAATGATACCTCCAAGAGAATAAGCCTTTCCCTCCCCCTCCCCATTTTTGGAGACTTATAGGGAACTTGTAAGAAAATATTTCATAAGAATGATAGCTCAGACAGCAACAATTTCTTTTCTCTTTTTCATTTTCCCTCCTGTGTTTCTCCTTATTGTGACTTACTGTAGTGGCTTGACTGATGTTTCAACAAATAATTATGAACCTCTAAAAGAACCAGGGAAGCAGCTGGGAGTGCTCTTTGGCTTTAGTTGTTTGTTCTGGTCTTGCTGCTGCTGAGTTGCTTGCTCTTTGGATTGCTCTCCACTTTCCTCCCTCTTGGATACCTCCCCCCTTTTGTATTTACTAATTATTGTGGGGATTCTCCCCACTCATTCCTTTTGTGCTGCTGGTGCTGGACTCAAGACAAGTCATTCAGTGGGAGAGAGAAAAAATTCCCCAGGGCTATGGTTGGAGGGCTCTACTGTATCTTTTCCTTTATTTGGGTTCCTCCTTTAATTATTTTATGGGATGGGGGACCACTGTGCATTTTATTTTGGGCAGCAGGCCTTGTCTGCATGTTTTCAATGGTGGTGGTGGTAATGATGATCGTGATAAATATAAACAAGTGTACTCTACATAGGTTTCGTGATGATGACTTATGTATTGCTGTCTGCTTTGGGTAGATTAATTTGATTGGCTCTCTTTTGCCTTGCTGCTCATATCTCTAGCTTTTGTTTTCAAGGGTTGTTTTAGGATATTAGAAAAATTAAACAAAGGGACCCAAAATATGCAGGTCATTTCATGTTAAATGCATGATATGGGGATAGAAATGAAATGGAAACAGTAGGGACACTTTAAAAAGAAAACAAAATGAAAATAACATGGATGTTTTCACCATTGGTGTGCTTACTACAGATTCTTGATACTCTAGTCTGGAAAATCTGCTCTCCCATTTCCCAATACCATTGTTTCACTACAGATTCACAAAGAAATCCCTCAGTCGGGCTCTGTACTAGATAGTGATTGCCATAAGTCCCTTTGTTGCAACACTTGTATTCCATACAGAATCTCATGGTCAGTTTCCACATGACAAGACTTAATTGAAGTCTAGTTTTCATTTGTAGGGGATGTGGTGGCGCTGCAGGCTAAACCGCAGAAGCCTCTGTGCTGCAGGGTCAGAAGACCAGCAGCCGTAAGATTGAATCCACGCAACAGAGTAAGCTCCCGTCACTTTGTCCCAGCTCCTCGCCAACCTAGCAGTTCAAAAGCATTTACTGTAAATGCGAGTAGATAAATAGGTATCATCTCAGTGGGAAGGTAAAACGGCGTTCCCTAGTCATGCTGGCCACGTAGCAATGGAAACTGTCTTCGGACAAGCGCTGGCTCTACGATTTGAAAAACAGAATGAGCACTGCTCCCTAGCAGACACGACTGGACTAAAAAAGTCAAAGGGAACCTTTACCTTTCATTTGTAGCAGATGCTAGTAAGCAAATTGTGTTATTAGCCTTAGTTATCCTTTCTAAGCACTGACTTGTGATGATCTTGGCTAATGTATTTCTTTTCATTGCCCTTTCTAGGTTCCCTGCTATTCCTATGGACAGAAGTTATCCAAACTGGCCATCCTGAGGATAGCATGTAACTATATCCTCTCCTTGGCGAGACTAGCCGACCTGGATTACAGTGCTGACCACAGTAACATGAGCTTCTCGGAATGTGTGGAGCAGTGCACTAGGACCTTGCAAGCCGAAGGAAGGTCTAAAAAAAGGAAGGTATGTTTCAGAGGAGAAGAGAAAACAACCAGTTAAAACTGAATGGGCAACTCCTTTAGTTCCTCACTTAATGAAGATTTGCTGCATCTTTTTCCTGTTATAGTATTTATCTCTTGTGCTTAAGGCTTTCTCCACTCTTAAGTCTTTATAATGTAAAGAAAATGTAAAAAGATGTTACATTTGAAATAATCATTTCAAATTTCCTTTAATATCTAAAAGGATTCTTCTCTTTTCTTTACTCTCATTCCTTTTTATGTTTGAATATGAAAATATTATTGTTTGAATCAAATTGTTTCAGTAACAGTTATTCTGCTGTAATAATTAACATAGACATCTCTGGCTCATCTTAGAAAAAAACGATATTCTTATAACACATCCATACATCCACAAATCCCCAGTCACTCAAGTGTTTTTTTTCCTTAATCTGTCAGTTTTGTAAGGGGGAAAGCAAAAGACAAGGAAGGAGTATCCTATAGCTAAACAGCTACCGTACTTTATTTATTCAACTTATACTTGCTCTTGTTGCAACTGCAATTTTTAACACCACCCTGTTTCCCACAGTGAGATTTGTACACATGACAGGCTCCAGTGGTTCACATTACCTAAAGTTCCAAACCCAGAAGTTACCTCAACAGCACTTTTATACTCCCACTTTTATATGAGGCCTTGCAGAGGTTAGCAGAATAGCACTGAGTGCTTGTCTCCTGCCCAAGGGCTCCCTGCTGTCCTCAGAATGGCTGGCTTGAATGGCTTCTCTCTGTTGGAAACAGCAGGGAGACTGAAAAAGGTAATTACAGTAACATAGGCTAGATAATCAAAACTCAGTACTTGGAAAGGGAAATTAAAGATTTATGGTGACTGAAGCTGGGAGTACTTGTCAAACAACTAATAAAAGGGAAAGCACATTAAACAGAGAGAGTATGCAATGGTATGCTATTAAGCACCATCAAGTTTTCATGGCTGGAAGGAATGGCTTCCATGTATGCAGCCTGGAGGATGGCTGTACAAATAGCCATAATTTTTTTCACATGCTTTTATCTATATTGGTCAAAATCTTGTTGCTTAATGTAGTAAATGGCAGTGGAATAGGCCCATTGAATCAATGGGGATTTAGGGAGTCGCTTCCTCTTACTTTAGCCTAGGTAAAGGTTCCCCTTGACATTTAGTCCAGTCGTGTCTGACTCTAAGGCGCGGTGCTCATCCCCGTTTCCAAGCTGTAGAGCCAGCGTTTTGTCCGTAGATAGTTTCTGTGGTCACGTGGTCAGCGCAACTAGACATGGAACACCGTTACCTTCCCACCGAGGTGGTCCCTATTTATCTACTCGCATTATTACATGCTTTCGAACTGCTAGGTTGGCAGGAGCTGAGACTAGCGACGGGAGCTCACTCTGTGGTGTTGATTCGATCTTATGACGGATGTCTTCTGACCTTGCAGCACAGAGGCTTCTGTGGTTAACCTGCAGTGCCACCACGTCCCTACATGGATTCATTTGAATCAATGGAATTTATGGAGGAGTTTACTAACAAATGGCCACTGGTTGAATAGGCCTACTCTAGTTGTGAATTGCTACGCTAAGCAATGGGATTTTGGTCATTGACATTGAATTGTTGCCCTCTTGTATTTCCCCAGAATGCTTCCACCTTTTCTCAAATTACAAGATAACTATTTTGTGCCAAATGAAAGAGAAAGAGTACAGTGGGGTCTTGACTTTGGAGTTTACTAACAAATGGCCACTGGTTGAATAGGCCTACTCTAGTTGTGAATTGCTACGCTAAGCAATGGGATTTTGGTCATTGACATTGAATTGTTGCCCTCTTGTATTTCCCCAGAATGCTTCCACCTTTTCTCAAATTACAAGATAACTATTTTGTGCCAAATGAGAGAGAAAGAGTACAGTGGGGTCTTGACTTGAGAACTTAATCCATATTGGAAGGCGGTTCTCAAGTCAAAAAGTCTGTAAGTCAAGTCTCCATTGACCTACAGTGCATTGAAAACCGATTAATCCCATAACAGGCTGTTTTTGTTCCATTTTGGTTTTTTTCTGGTCTGTAAGTCAAATCTCAGTCTGCAAGTCAAACCTAAATTTTGCGGCCAGAGAAGTCTGTAACTCAAAAAGTCTGTAAGTCAAGCCGTCTGTAAGTCAAGGGTCCACTGTAGAAGACAAAAAAGCTTGTCTGCTTCCTGGAGATTGTTAGAAAAAAATGCAACTGTTTTTAACTGAATTGTCCCTCTTCTTTGACCAGGGAGGGCTGCATCATCCACTATCCTAGAGCTGCAGTTTCTCCCCATGCTTTTACCTTTGTGCTCAAATTGAGCTCACAGGGGGCAAGAAATACATGAAGATGATTATGAAGGAAAGTAGTCATTGTGCAAACTTACTGCCACCATTCTAAGGTAGAAAGGAGACTGAAAGAGGCTTAACAGCCTTCAGGAAGACTCAGGCAATTATTTGGAGCCTTGAACAATTTGTTGAGTACATTGAAATACAGTACTACTTTTTCTCCCAGTTTCTCAAACTGGCATAAATGATCACCCACCCCATTTTTATCATTGCAATAACTCTGTGAGCTGACAAGGTGATATATGGCCTCCTCAGTTTAACGTACTCACAGAGGTCACTTCTGTGATGGTCAGATAAAATTATTTCAGTGCTATCTACCTGAAACATCAAATATGCAAACAAAGCCAGGTGATTGCTTACAAAACAAAATGCAACTTGATGGAAGCGTATGTTAGAATAAGCAGGCTTTTGTGCTTAAGGGTGCACTGCATTTAGAATCAGCATCTTGTCTGGTGAGGCCCTGAGTTAGTGGGAATTTGAACCTGCATTTACCCAGCACCAGTCTGCTATGCCATTCTAACCTCACATTGTCATGAGGCTGGGCCCTAGAGATCACTTTAGCTACAAATCTTAAGAACAATGATATGAACTGATAACACAATGGAATCTCTTAAATAAACAATCATCAAACTAATCATGCATTGCCTTCCTTCAGGTTGCTTTAACTCTGAAGCAGTTAGCCAAAATCATCATCAAGCTGTGTTAAAGAGGAGACCAAGCATTCTGCCAGCTTTCCTCCCGGAAAGTGACATGGGTAAATTAGGAGAGAGATTGATGCCTATGCTCAGGGTTTTATGACAAAAAGAGATCTGTAAACTTCAAGTGAACTTCCTGTCTGCATTCAAGATCTGGTTTTCGTGCAGGGTAATAAATCAGCTGCATAATAATGGACAAATGGATAGCAAAGCTGAAGAAGTACTTTAGTCTTCACCCTACTAAGAACAATCGTTTGTGCACTACAGTGTTGTTTGTTTGTTTGTTTATCTCAGCAAATAATTTTTAGGAATCTAGCTTATAAATAAACACAGCACTTCTTTTCTGTCAGGGGCTTTCTGGTACCTTAATTGTTATAACAGGATAGGGGTCGGTGAGAAAGGTTTGAATAGAATCAAGATTAGAAAATTCTGTCCATTTACAGCTGGAAGACGTTGGGTGGTGACTGATTGTTTCAGCTCATGACAACAGAGAATGGTCTTCCCACCAGTTTTGTAGCTTTAAATAAATAATTCCAAAGAGGAAGAGAAGGAATTAATGATGATGATGATGATGATGATGGCAATAGAACAAATGTACCCTTAACTAAATAAATGTGTGCATGATACTTTGAAAATAAGAAAGTCAAATAAAATGTCTGAAGCACAGAGCAAGGGACAAGGCTGGTGGTAGTATTGACACTGGATTTGCTGGTTAATTACAACAGTCTTTTCAAAACAAATTAGTGTAAAAGATAGGTCCATCCCAAGAATACTATATTTAAATGAACCTCTTCTATAATTTTTTTGTGGCTGTAATGCAAAGTAGATCAGTTTTATCATTAATTGTACAGGACACACAGGATGTCAGTGCTGAGACAGTGTCTTAGAACTGGAATGTGATGTTCAAGGAAATAAATGCTTTCTTTCCCCTTGCAAGTGACACGTCCCCTGTGTTTGGGATTTGTAAGCTGCTACTCACCACTTGACTTCAGGAAATTATCAGTTGCGTTGTGGTCTCCTGCACCCTTGAAAGATTCAGTGAACGAGAATAATCTGTCCCCACCAAGCCCACCCAACTGCAATGTGCAGCCCAGTAGTCTACTCCCTCCCTCTGCTTCCTCTCTCTCTTTAAGACTTGTTCTAGTTTTCCATGACATAGCAAGCTGTTCACACTTTTCAAAGTAGCTGGTTGGAGCTTGTTCTGACAGACAGGAGCTCCAGATGTTAGATTTGCCCAGTTGTGGTTAGCCTTTCCTTTTGTTTAGGATGCTCAACCTTCTGTTGTTCCTCCTGGCTTGGGAAGTCATGTCTTTCTCCCTCTCTGTCCATCCCCCATTCCAGTACAGTATTGCTGTTACAAAGGATAGAGTGGAGGAATGTTGTGCTCCCTCCCCGCTTCCTGCAGTGCTCGAATAGTGAATTCTGTCACGGTTTAATAGTGTGCCTGGGTAGTTAGGGAAGTCACTCTCTTTTTCCCCCTCATGTGTGTTTTACACAAATATAGCACGAGCAATTAAACATGAAGAATGTCTATTTTTACTTGATTTTGCTACCTTGACAGGCATAATTTATTCCAAATATGAAAATAGGAATGCTGGTTCTTCCACCAAGGAAATTATGAAAACAGCATTAGCCAACACATTCTGTATCCCTAAATTGAAAACAGAGGCACTCTTCATTCTTAAAATATTTATCTGTATATATACACAGAGAGAAAGACACACACACATGTGTATATATATCTTAAGGATGAAGAGTGCCCATTTACACACACACACACACACACACACAAATGTATGCATATTTTGAAAACAGGGGCACTCTTCACCCT